AGGAGTAGCATACTTATATCAAACAAAATAGATTTCAAGACAAAAACTGTAAAGAAGAGACAAAGAAAGTTACTATATAATGATGAAGGGGTAAATTCAGTAAGAGAATATATCAATTTTAAATATATATACACCCAACACTGGAGCACCCAGATAAATAAATAAAATATTATTAGAGCTAAAGAGAGAGATAGGTCCCAATACAACAATATCTGGAGACTTCAACACCATACTTTAAGCATTGGACCATTCTTCAAGAAAGAAAATCAACAAAGAAACATCAGACTTAATTTGCAGTATAGATCAAATGAATCTAATAGATATTTATAGAACATTTCACCCAACAGCTGCAGAATACACATTCTTTTCTTCAGCATATGGCAATTGTGAGGCATTAATCCCAGTGCTATCCTTTTACAGCAGAGGAAATCCAGACCAAACTCACCTGATGCATGCCCAGCCAATGTTGGGAATCTTTAAAACAGCGTTAGCCAGAGGGGAATTGCCTAACCTGGCAGTCTGAACTTGAGTTCTCTCACACCTTGCTACTGGGGGTCATGGATTATTCTTAACAACAGACTGTATGATAGGTCAAAAAAAGTCTAAAACATTCAACAAAGTTGAGATAACATCAAGCATCTTCTCTGACCACAATATATAGAATAAAATTAGAAATTAATAACAAGATAAATTTGGGAAACTATACCAACACATGGAAGTTAAACAATATGCTCCTGAATGACAAGTGGATAAATGAAACCATTTTTGTAAAGTTCTTGAAACAAAAGACAATGGAAATACAACACACTGAAACCTATGGGATACAGCAAAAGCAGTACTAAGAGGGAATCTTATAGCTATAATTCCCTACATCAAAAAAAAGAAATAACTTCAAATAAACAATCTAACAATAAGTCTTAAAGAACTAGAAAAGCAAAAGCAAACCAAACCTAAAATTAGTAGGAGAAAAGAACTAAGAGGTTGGGTGTGGTGGCTCAAACCTGTAATCCCAGCAGTTTGGGAGGCCAAGGAGGGCAGATCACTCGAGGTCAGGTCTTTGAGACCAGCCTGGCCAACATGGTGAAACCCCGTCCCTACAAAAAATACAAAAATTAGACAGGCATGGTAGCAGGCACCTGTAATCCCAACTACTAGGGAGGCTGAGGCAAGAGAATTGCTCAATCCCGGGAGACACAGGCTGCAGTGCACCAAGATGGCAGCTCCTGCCTGAGCAACAGAGGAAGACTCCATCTCAAAAAAATCTAATAAAGATTAGAACAGAAATAAATAAATTTAAAATGAGGAAAACAATACAAAAGATCAATGAAACAAAAAGTTGGTTTTTTGAAAAGTAAAACAAAATTGACAAACCTTTAGCCAAACTTAGTAAGAAATAGAGAAAAGATTCAAATAAAAACATTAGAAATGAAAAAGGAGATGTTACAACTAATACTGCAGAAATTCAAAGATCATTAGTGGCTACGATGAGCAGCTATATGCCAATAAGTTGGAAAATCTAGAAGAAATAGACAAATTTCTAGATTCATACAACCTATCAAGATTGAACCAGAAAGAAATCCAAAACCTGAACAGGCCAATTGCAAGCAATAAGATCAAAGCCATATTAAAAACTCTCTCAGCAAAGAAAAAACAGGGACCCAATAGCTTCACTGCTGATTTCTACAAACATTTAAAGAACTAATACCAATCCTACTAAAACTATTGCAAAAAATAGAAGAGAAGGCAATACTTCTAAATTCCTTATATGAAGTCAGCATTACTCTGAAACCAAAATCAGACAGACACATGAAAAAAACAAAACTACAATCCAATATCTCTGATGAATATTGATGCAAAAATCCTCAACAAAATACTGGCAAAACCGAATTCAATGCTACATTAAAAAAAATTTCTAATGTTGAGCACCTTTTCATGTGCTTGTTTGCCATATCTATTTCAAATACTTTGCCCATTTTTTTTTATAAATCAGTCTGTCCTTTGTTGTTGAGTTTTAAACATTTAAAAATATATTCTGGATACTAGTCTCTTATCAGACATAATTTGCAAATGATTTCTCTCATTCTATGGGTTGCCTTTTCACTTTCTTAATCATGTTCATTAAAGCACAAAAGGTACATGTGCATGATCTGCACATGTACCCTAGACCTTAAAGTATAATCAATAAATTTATATAAAATAAGAAAAGTTGTAGTTATTTTTGATTGGTTCATCTTTTAGTCCTTCTATTTAAGATGGGGGAGTTTACATGCCACAGTTATAGTGTTACAATATTTTCAATTTTCCTGTGTGCTTATTATTACCGGTGAGTGTTGTCAGTTCAGAGATTTCTTATTGCCCATTAACATCCTTTCATTCTGATTGAAGTTCTTCCTTTAGCATTTTGCATAGTGTTAAGTCTGGTGTTGATAAAATTCCTCAGCTTTTGTCTGGGAAAATCTTTATTTTCTTATAATTTTTGAAGAATATTTTTGATTTGGTAACAGTTTTTTCCCAAAGCCCTTTACACATGTCATGTCACTCTTTTGTTGCTTGTAAGGTGTTCACTGAAAAGTCTGGGGGGCAGATTTACTGAAGCTGCACTGTATATTATTTGTTTCTTTTCTCTTGATGCTTTTAGAATTCTTTCTTTAGAACTGACCTTTAGGACTTTGATTAAGTGCTTTGGGGTAGTCTTCTTTGGGTTAAATCTGCTTGGGATTCTATTCTTTATTTAGATATCAGTATTTTTCTCCAGACTTGGTAAGTTCTGTGTTACCATTCTCTTGAATAATCTCTCTACTTTTATCTCTTTCTCTACCTCCTTTTTAAGGACAATAACTCTCAGATTTGCTCTTTTGAGGCCATTTTCTAGCTATTCTAAGTGTGCTTCATTGTTTTTCATTCCTTTTTGTCTCTTCTGACTGTGTTTTCAAATAGCCTGCTTTCAAATCCACTAATTTCTTCTTCTGCTTGATCAATTCTGCTATTAAAAGACTTTGATGCATTATTCAGCATGCCAATTGCATTTTTTCAGCTCCAGAATTTCTACTTAATTCTTTTTTTTTTTTTTTTTGGAAATTGAATCTTCGCTCTGTTGCCCAGTTTGGAGTGCAATGATGTGATCTCAGCTCACTGCAACTTCTGCCTCCCAGGATCAAGCAATTCTCTGTCTCAACCTCCAATTAGATGGAATTACAGGTGCACACCAGCATGCCTGGCTAATTTTTGTATTTTTAGTAGAGACAAGGTTTCACCATATTGGTCAGGCTGATCTGAAACTCCTGACCTCAGGTGATTCACCCACCTTGGCCTCCAAAGTGCTGGGATTACAAGCATGAGCCACCACACCTGGCCAATTCTTTTTAATTATTTCAGTCTTTTAATTAAATTCATCTGATAGAATTTTGAATTCCTTTTCTGTGATATCTTGAACTTCTCCATTTTCTCAAAACAGCTATCTTGAATTCTCTATCTGAAAGGTCACATATCTCTGTTTCTCTGGGATTGGCTCCTGGTGCCTTTTTAAGTTTGGTGAAGTCATGTTTTCCTATATGTCTTGATGCTTTCAGATATTCTTTGGTGTCTGGGCATTGAAAAGTTATGTATTTATCATAGTCTTCACAATCTGGGTTCGTTTGTACTCAATTCATCTTGAGAAACCTTTCTGGGTATATAAAAGGACTTGGGTTTTGTGATCTTACCTGTACCTGCATTAGAGTGCAGCACAAGCCCAGTGATACTGTGGTTCTTGCAGACTCATAGAAGTACCACTTTGGTGGTCTTGGATAAGATCTGGAAGAATTCGCTGTGTTAAGGCAGAAACACTTGTTTTCTCCTCTTACTTTTCCCAAACAAACAGAATATCTCTCTTTGCTGAGCTCCTGAAACTAGGTGTGGGGTGACTTAAGCTGCCCTGTGAGTGCCACCACTGGATATGTGCTGGGTCATAGCTGAGGCCAGCACAACACTGGGTTTCACCCAAAGGCCATTGTAACCACTTTCTGACTACCACCTATTTTCACCCAAGGTTCTAGGGCACTACAATCAGCAGGTCATGAAGCCAGCCAGGGTTGCACCTTGCCCTTCAGGGCAGCAAAATTTCCCCAGGGCAGGTCCAGAAATTCTGCTCAGGCACCAAAGACTGGAGTCAAAAACCTTAGAAATCTGCCTGTGCTATTGTACTGTGGCTGAGTTGGTGCTCAAACAATGAGATGCTGTCTGTACATTCTCCACAGGAAGCAGAGCCTCAGCATGTAACCACCACCACCACAGGCTCACTGGAAGTATTTTTAAGCTACCACTGATGTTCACTTAATGCCCAATGGATCTTTAGTATGTAGTGAATGCTGGCAGGCCTGAGACTCACCCTTTAGGGAAGTGGGCTCCCTTTTGGCCCAAGGCATGTACAGAAATTTTGTCTAAGAGCTGAGGTCTGGAATCAGAGACCCCAAGAGCCCACTTGGTACTCTATTCTCCTGTGGCCAAGCTAGTACTTAAAATACAGTAAAGTCCCCTTTACTTTTTCCTCTGCTTTTCTCAAGTAGAAGGGGTCTCTTACTGTAGCTACTACAGCTGGAACTGTGCTGGATCTCACCTGAAGCCAGCATGTCTCAGTCTCACCCAAGGCCTATGGCATACTACCTGGGCATTGCTGTGGGTTATTCAGGGGCCAATGTGTCTTTAGGAAGCAGGTGATGGGTCCTGCCTGGACTGGGTTCTTTCCTTCAAGGTAGTGGGTTCCCTCCTGGCTCAGTGTGTGTCTATACATGTCATCCAGGAGCTAAGGCCTACAATGGAGGACTCAAAACCTTGATCAGCACTCCATCATACTGTGGCTGAGCTGGTATTCAAGGTGCAAGAAAAATTCCTTTTTGCCTTTCCTCTCATCTCCACAAGTGGAAGGAAGGTGTCTCTTTTGGTGCCATGAGCTGTGCTGCCAAGGGTTGGAGGTGATATGGCACACACTCCCTTAGCCCTATGGCTGGTGTCTCAGTAGGTCGATGTATACTGGTTCTTTGCCCAGCATAGATGTGCACTGGCTCTTTGCCCAGCATAGCACTAGGACTCAGCTAGGAGTGGCAGTCCCTGTGACCTACACTGCCTTTAAAGTTTATTTAGAACCCCAAAACACTTTAGCTTGCAGTGAACTCAAATTCCAACTGCTGAGAATGGGTAAGTTTCCTGTGGATAGGGCTGATCTGAATGCTTCCTCCATTGGTGGGCATCAGCTGAGTTCCATCTTGTTTTGCCTTTTGCTGTGACAGAGCAGCAAAACTCAAGTTTCACTGTGGAACTTGAGTTAAATGCAAGGTTTCACACATGTCGTGCCCTTCCTTTCCCAAGAGCACAGATTCTTTTCTTACACCACATGTCTACTGCTAGAGGATAGTGGAGAGGCGGTGACATTAGAGATTCAAGGCTGTCTTTCCTATCCACTACAGTGCCTGATATTGTTTGGCTAGGCGGTGACATTAGAGATTCAAGGCTGTCTTTCCTACCCACTACAGTGCCTGATATTGTTTGGCTGTGTCTCCACTCAAATGTCTTGAACTGTAATTCCCATAAACCCCATGTGTTATGGGAAGGAGGTAATTGGATCATGGGGGCACTTACCCTCATGTTTTTCTCATGATAGTGAGTGAGTTTTCATGAGATCCGATGGTTTTATAAGGGGCTTTTCCCCCTTTTTCTGGGCACTTCTCCTTGCTACTTTCATGTGAAGAAAGGACGTGATTGCTTCCATCATGATTGTAAGTTTCCTGTGGCCTCCCCAGCTCTGCAGACCTATAAGTCAATTAAACCTCTTTTCTTTCTAAATTACCCAGTCTCCAGCAGTTCTTTATAGCAGTATAAGTAGGGACTAATACAGTGTATATTTCAGTGATAGGAATTTAAAACCAAGGACTATGAATGCTCACCTGATTTTTCTTCTTATGAAGGTGCTATTTTTGTTCAGATAGTTATTAAATTTGGTGTTCCTGTGGGAGGGATGCTCAGTGGAACTTTCTATTTGGCCATTTTACTCCATACCTAATCAATTAATGCTTTGTAATTTACAAAATGGTTTTACATATGCTGTCTCTTTCAATCCTAACAAAAGTGAATGGCATAATTCCTGTTGTATAGATGAAGAAACAGACTCAGAGACATTATTCTTTTCTCCTTTATCTCTATTTAGACAATCTACAAGGCCCACCATTGGAACTATATTCTTCACAAGAAAAAGATGGACTGATTAACATCCAGCTTGAATTCAGTTCACCCTTCTCTGAATTCTTATTGTAATTAAATTCAGTTTTATGTAGTCTACTGCTAAAGTGATGTTTTTTCTTTTTTAATCTTTTCCTGTCATATTGTAATTTAGTAATGTAAAAAGGTAAGCATAAATTTCACAATTAATGAATTTGAATTTTGACTGACTTTGATGCATATTTATTGTGTGATTTTATACAGGTTATCTAGTTCTACAAACCTCGGTTTCCTTACCTGTGAAATGAGGATAACAATCTTTACCTAACAATCTCATTTGGTTTATCAAATAAGAAAATTGATACAAAGTTTCCTTCCTTCCTTCCTTCCTTCCTTCCTTCCTTCCTTCCTTCCTTCCTTCCTTCCTTCCTTCCTTCCCCTTTCCTCTCTCCTTTCCTCTCTTCTTCCCTGCCTTCATTTCTTAAAATATGTCTGCAATCAGGCTGAAAGCCCTATGATGTCAGTGCACATATCTTAAACCTCTGTTGCTTTCCCAACAGAGTTGGATTCATAATATTTGACATCTACATTTACTTGGAATGGAAAGATTTGGAATGCATACTTTTGGAGTACTAGGCTTCTAAGTATAGTCTCATCACCTAAGCTCACCTTCCAGAGCCTTTGAATCTAATATACTCAATTCTCTTAATACTTTTGCTGGATTTAATTAAAACTTCAGCATGTGAATACACAAGTTAATGGCTTTTATTTTACAAATCATTTATTTGTCAAAAAGAGAAATATCATTTTGATTCAAATGAATGGGTTTCTCCAGAGACTACACATTTTCTGAAGTCATTATTAATAACAATTTTAAACACAAACTCTCCATTGGTGGCTTCTGTTGTTGCTATGACACCAATGTCTAGCAGTCACTACCCTCATTGGCAGAGATAACTAATTCACTTTAAACTCTTTAAAGTTTTCAATTACTTTTGGTTGGAGGTTAGTGGAAGAAGTGTGAGGTACACTTCTTCAGCAGTCTCTAAAAAGTCTAAACTAATACAAGGACTGTGATAGTCAATCCCTATAAAAATTAACATCTTCTTATATCCCATTCTTTATTCTTTCTTTTTCTGTTGTATGCCTGAGGGTTATACCTCTAAATATTATATTTAAATAGCAACTTTAGTCAAATGATACTGAAGTGCTTTACAAATACTGTTTCTTTAATCTTTCATAATGTCTAGTGCTCTGAAAGATACATTTATATTTCGTTTGTATATTTGCTTTCATCTTGTTCAGAGCTTCAGTCTCAAGTCTGAAGAATTTTTTAAAAGAATATAAAGCATTGTCCTTATTCTTAAGTATTCTTACCTGTTCATACTTTTAACATACGTAAAACACAGTGACTCTTCCCTTTTTAATTTATTTTCCAGATGAGTTATACTTATTCTAAGTCTGGATAAAATCATCTCCAGCTTGAGGTAGTGGGAGAAAAACTGGGTTGAGAAGTAGACTACAGCTGAATTTCTGAATCCATCAAGTACTGGCTATGTGATTTTGTGCAAACCTTAAACATCCTTGAGACTGAATTACTTAATTTACTATGTAAGGATAAATAGCAAAATATTGTCCTTTTAAAATTTATTTTATTTTATTTGATTTCACCAGGCTGGAGTGCAGTGGTGGGATCTTGGCTCACTGCAACCTCCGTATCCTGGGTTCAAGCAATACCTGTAATACCAGCTGCCTTAGCCTCCAAGGTAGCTGGTATTACAGGTGCACACCACCATGTCCAACTAATTTTTTTGTGTTTTTAGTAGAGACAGGGACCCAGGATGATCTCGATCTCTTGCCCTCGTGATCCACCCAGCTCAGCCTCCCAAAGTGCTGGGATTACAGGTGTGAGCCACCACGCCTGGCCAAAATATTGTCATTATTATGAGTCTCAAATGAGATACTGGATCTTTAAAATACTTTGAGAATGTAAATGATTATGCTAATTCTACCCCAATAAAGCTATTAATGTAAGTGAATGTTTATTATAATTCACAACACAGAAATAATTTGTACGTTTTTTTCTTTTTCCTTTTGAGGTGTCAAATAGCATCTTCAAACTCATATATATATATATATATATATATATATATATATAATTTAAATCTTTCTATTAAAATTAAGAATAGGATATTAGAATATCAATGTTGGAATAGGCCTTAGAGATAATCCAGTACATCCCACATTACTGTATAAAAGAGGACTTTGAGGTCAAGAGGAAACAAATTTTTATAGGTTATAAAATTAGGCAGTGGCAAAATCAGGATTAGAACTCTGGTTCCATTTCTTCCCATTCAGGGCCTTTCCTATTCTACTACAATGTCTTACCTAAATGGTTCTGTTGGTGCTTTGTTATAAAACTATAAAACTTATCTGCAACTTTTCATTCACTGCTTTGAACCAAGATTTTAATATGAACTGTTAAGCAAACTTCTCCTTTGTGGGGAATCGCTTTTCACAAAGAGAATGACCTACAAGGCAATCCTTCCACACGTTTTATCTTCCAGCCACTAGGTTGTAAACTATTGCATGGCTACTGAAACAATAGGTAGCACAATAAGAAAATGTGACCCAAGGCTGGTGGTCATGCTATTTTTCCTTAGGGATATACAGATATTGGTCTTGCTAGGAGCAACAAATAGAAAATAATGACTAACATATGGTAAATATTCCTTTAGTGTTTATTTTATTCCCTTTATCCTCACATTATGATAAAATCTTATTGTTGTTTTTTAATTTCAAGTTTTTTTCCCAACAAGTATATGACGTAAGGATTGTTTTCATATTAAAGATGAGAAAACTGAGGCTCTGAGAGAGTAAATTAATAGCAAAACTCTACAAAGAAGACAAGAGAGCTGAGATTACAACCTAGATTCTCTGACCTCTAATGAAGGGATCTTTCCACTGTACCGTAATGGCCTATGATTTTTGCCATACTTAATGAATACTGAAAACTATTACTAAAGATGTGACTAAGAGTAACATTTGGAAGAAGTTATAATGATTGTAACTAAACAAAAATAGACTTATATCTCAACCTTTCTTTGAAACTATCTAAATACTTCTTCTTCCTCTTCTTCTTTTTCTTTTATACCAATGAGGTCTCACTATGTCGCCCAGGCTGGTCTCAAACTCTGAGCTTAAGTGATCCTCTCTCTTTGGCCTCCCAAAATGCTGAGATTGCAGACATGAGCCACCATGCCCAGACAGCTACCATGCTTGGCTAACTACCTAAATACTCCTAAATTATAAGAAGAGGCTTGGCTTTCCAAGGGGAAACTGTGTAATGAGTGGGGAAACTTAAAATTTGGATGCTGCAGACCTGGCTTACGGGATAAAAGCACAGAGGTCTGCTGATTTCTCACCAGCATTCTTTTCTACTACCCTTTCTGCTTTGGATGAAGCCCTGCATGCAGGTGTGGCTTGTGGATCCCTCACAGAGATTACAGGTCCACCAGGTTGTGGAAAAACTCAGTTTTGTATAATGATGAGCATTTTAGCTACATTATCCACCAATATGGGAGGATTAGAAGGAGCTGTGGTGTACATTGACACAGAGTCAGCATTTAGTGCTGAAAGACTGGTTGAGATAGCAGAATCCCATTTTCCCAGATATTTTAACACTGAAGAAAAATTAGTTTTGGCAAGTAGTAAAGTTCATCTTTATCAGGAGCTCACCTATGATGAAGTTTTACAAAGGATTGAATCTTTGGAAGAAGAAATTATCTCAAAAGGAATTAAACTTGTGATTATTGACTCTCTTGCTTCTGTGGTCAATAAAGAGTTTGATACACAACTTCCAGGCAATCTCAAAGAAAGAAACAAATTCTTGGCAAGAGAAGCATCTTCCTTGAAGTATTTGGCTGAGGAGTTTTCAGTACCGGCTGTATAGGAAGTATGGCGCCAGCATCTACTCAACTTCTGTGGATGCCTCAGGGGAGCTTTACTTATGGTGGACAGGGAAGCAGGAGCAGTCCCATCACATGACAAGAGCAAGAGAAAGAGTAGAAGGTGAAGTCCCCAACATTTTTGAACCACCAGATCTCTTGAGAACTCACTCACTAGCGTGAACACAGCACCAAGCCATGAGGGATCTGCCCCTGCAACCCAAACACCTTGGACTGGGCCCCATTTCCCACATTAGGGATTAATATTCAACAGGATATTTGGGTGGGAGAATATTCAAACTATATCAAAGGTGATGATAAAGAGTAGTATCATTGAAAATGGTGAGGAATGATTGAATTTTGTATATATTTTTGAGATTGAGACAACAGAAATTCCTGATGATTTGAATATGTTGTGTGACACAAAAAGGAGCCTATGTTTATGGCTTAGGAACTGAATGGATGGGACTGTTATCAACTGACAAGAGGAACACTGTGGACAGAGCAAATTTTAGGGGGATGATCAGGATTCAGTCCTATATATATTGAGTTTGAGATGTCTGTTAGGCATTCTAATAGGGATAATGACATCTACACATAGGATGGTTGTGATGATCAAATATGGTGATTGTAAATCACTGAACACAGTATCTGACATAATTATCTCTGTGAGATCAGAGAACATATTGCTATATGAAAAAAGAATAAGAGATTGCAAAAGGGAGATATTCAGGGAAAAAGAGCTCACATAATATGATAGAAGAAAATTTTAAAATGATGAATGGGAAGATAAGGTTGAAGAAATCTCCCAGAACATAAAAGCCAAAGAGATGTGAAAATATTACAGAAATATTAAAAACAATAGAAAATCTAGTCAGGAGGCCCACCTCCTTTCTAAAAAGACTTTCAGAGAGACAGACCAAAGAAAATGGGAGGGAAATAATTATCAGTGGAACCATGTAAGAAAAATTTCCAGAACTGAACGACCTCTGTTTCTAAATTGAAAGTGCTCAGCACCATTAATGAGGGGGATAAAAGACCTATTGTGAGGACATTTTAGAGTGCCAGAGAGTAAAAACAAATCACAAGGAAAGGAATAGGGATTAGTGGAGTATCCATCTTACCTTTAAAGTAACATTGGGAGCTAGTAGACAAGGAAGCAATACCTTCAATGTTCTGAGAAAATTATGACAAACATAGATTTCTAATTCCAACCAAATAGTCAATCAATTATGAGGATAGTCTGAAAATATTTTTTAACATGCAAGATACCAAAAAATTTGTCTCCTACATATCTTCACACAGGAAGCTATTAAGTATGTGAAGGAGGGCATGAAATCCAGGAAAATGGGAAATGTAACACTGGAGAGAGAGGGGAAATTTGCCAGATGATGGTGAACAAAAGTCCATGATGACAGCTGAGTAGCAGGCCTAGAGATGACTAGTACAGATTGGAGCAGGAAAGTGGAAACTCCAGGGAAGATGTCTCTCTAAACCAAATTAAACTGATGCATGTGTTTGATTATTCTCAAAGTATTTGATAGTTCATTCAGAGAGTTAGAGAGTAAACTGTCCCTAACTTAAGGGAGCTTACACTGTAATAAGGGGTACATGCAAGTAGGCAGGCAATTATAGTATTCTGTGAAGGTATAAAGTTTAGTACTGTAGGAAACCAGAATGTGCCTCCCCAAAATATGAAGGATTCTTGAGCTGAAGACAGTTAAGATGCTAGTAGATCTTTCTGCCTAAAAGCAGGACACAGATTTACAGAGAAAAAAGGTCTTGCTGTCCTCCCTCCCCGCTTTTTTCCCCTACAGACAGGATGTAAATTCTCCTTTACTGGAAAAAAAACCATTTATCATTTCAGAGACAGCACCAGAGGAATCTGCAAGCTGATTTTACTCCATTAGAACCTTCCATATATTTACCTTTCCACGGTTTCCCACCTCTTGAAGTCTGGGACTGCTTTCCTTTGCCTTGTCACTTCTCAAAATTTATTTTTCTTTGTTGGTATGCTGTATAAGCCAGATTCGTAAACCACTGCCTTGAGTTACCTTTCACTGAGAGCTTTTCCTGTGTGATATACACTGCACACATTAATAAACCTATCTGTTTTTCTCTTGTTAATCTGCCTTCTTTTATAGAAGTCTGTGTTAAGTACATACTTATGAGGGTTGAGGAAAAAATGTTTTTTCTCCCCTTCAGTTCTCTGCTGTTAGATCACCCATAGTTGGAATAGAGGCTCAGAAACCTAGTATTTAGCTCCTTTGAGCATCTGTAATTGAACTGGCAAACCAAGAGCTTGGGGTTGACTGTTGGATTAGCTGAAGAATAGTTTCTGCCACATTCTAGAAAACAAAGCTTTTTTTTTTTCTTTTTCTTTTTCTCCAGGGAATGAGTTGGGGGAAACCATTTATTTTAGTTTAAATAATTTAAAGTTCATCTATATATTTATAAGCATTTATCAGTTTTCATTTTAGTATATATGATGGTATCATGTAGAGCAGTGCAAAAAAAAACTTGAGTTGTTAATTTTAGATACAAAAAGCAACTAAATTTCTTATGTAATATTTTACCCTCCCAAGATATGTTCTCTGTACTCCATTGACTTATGCCAATAAAATAATGTTTTTCCAATTTAATAAAAAATGGAAGAGGTTTCAATTCCTTAGACTGATCAAGCATCCAAAAGTATGCAACACAAGTCTAAAAGCAATCAGAATTAACCTTGCATTGCTGATTTAGCTAAACAAACAGATCTCAAAAGTTGGAAGGCTTCAATTCTCCACTTACAAAGGATACACTTATTCTGGAAATTTTGGTTCTTATTTATGTATTTACATATTAATAATTCATGGGAAAATGCAGAAGGAAAAAGAAAAAAACACAAATGCTTTATTACTGAAAATGGTTACTTCTTTCTCTAGTGCTATTTTTTTAAAAACTGCATGTAGTGTGGTTGTGAAGTTTTTTTGAATATACCCCATGACAAACTTTACTCCAAAAACTAAATGAAGTAGAAGCATAACAAAGTACAGGTAGAGTTATTCATAAGAAAAGCATGAAGTGGTATAATCATAATTCATTCTTAGATATTTAGTTCTTTTTAAGCACAGTGTTAGAAGTCAGAGAGATGTGGATATAAAACACAACCCTAAAATTTATAGCTACATGATCTTAGGCAAGTTAAATAACCTGCTTAAGATAGTTTTTTTATTTGCAAAATGGAGATGATAATACCAACATCATAGGATTGCTATGCGGATTAAATGTGGTAACACATGTAAACCTCTTGGTACTTGATTTGTAAAGTTCAATAAATAATAATCTCTTTCCTCTCATCCACTTCTGTGATGATTTCCTGTTAACTCCAAAAGCCTACATATTTTCAGCCTAACAAGATAATTTAATTAGCTGTCTTGTTCAGATTTTCACCACTGCTTTGATGCCTCAACCTTACTGGAAGAAAGCTTCACTTTCTTATAAATAAAATGCCTTAACTTTTCATATTACACAGGTCATCTTACTATTTACTTTTTCAAACACAAAAAGGTAAATTTTATCTTTGTGTTTACCCTTTCAAACACAAAACAATGACAATAACAACAACCACAAAAATACTCACCTCCTAACACCTCAAAAATGTCCAATGTCTGGCATAAATCCTCAGCACGCTCAGTTCTTCAGAGGCCTGTAGTTGACGTCTGTATTTCTTACTTTTGTGATTTATCCATCACAGCTTGGCTTTTATCCTCTGCTGCTGAGGCAGAAATGTCAAAAGGAGTCCATAGCCTTGGGTAAAATAGATTTAATTAGAAAAATGGCAAACCTCTGATGAGAATTTGATAAATCGACCACTGAAACACCTTTTACCCATTTAAAGTTCAGTATTATAATTAGGACAGAAAGATATTTGGATTTCAAAGGCTGAGATAATTGCACTAATTATTCAATAATTGTATTAATCCCAGATGTAGCACTTTTTTTTTTTTTAGGTGGAGTCTCTCTCAGTTGCCAGGATGGAGTGAAGTGGCACTATTTTGGCTCACTGCAACCTCTGCCTCCTGGGTTCAAGTGATTCTCCTGCCTCAGCCTCCCAAGTAGCTGGGACTACAGGCACGTGCCACCACTCCCAGCGAATTTTTGTATTTTTAGTAGAGATGGAGTTTCACAATGTTGGTGAAGATGGTCTAGATCACTTAACCTCATGATCCGCCTGCCTCAGCCTCCAAAAGTGCTAGGATTACAGGTGTGAGCCACCGCTCCTGCCTGATGTAGCACTTTTTTAGACTTTTTTTTGTTTTGTTTTTTTGAGACGAAGTCTCACTTTGTTGCTTGGACTGCAGTGCAGGGGCACGATCACGACTCACTACAACCTCCACCTCCCGGGTTCAAGTGATTCTCCTGCCTCATCCTCCTGAGTAGCTGGGATGACAGGCATGCATCCCCATGCCTGGCTAATTTTTGTATTTTAGTAGAGATGGGGTTTCACCATGGCCAGGATGGTCTCTATCTCCTAACCTCATGATCTGCCTGCCTCAGCCTCCCAAAGTGCTGGGTTTATAGGCGTGAGCTGCCACACCCAGCTTTTTTAGTCTTTTATATCGATTGACCCTAAGAATATTCTGCAGGCCTATGAAAACATATTTTGTGACTATAAGATTCAGTCTAAAAGAATAATATCTGAACTACATGTATAATTTTGAATTATATTTACATAAACTATAAATAAAAGAATTTTTTTAAAAAAGGGATCCATGGATGAACAGTGAATTTAATAACTATTACCTAAATTGTATTAAGTATCAAAATGTTTTTATATAGACCCTATCCACAATTTACAGATTAGGTATGACTACTTCCTCCTGTTGATCTTTTATGTAAAACAAAGTAAGATTAAATCTCAGAACACCACAATTTAGAATAAACATGAATTCCTAACCACTTGAAATACAACAGAATTTCACCCTGAGGGGACTTTTCTTATCTGATTAAATAAAAAGTTGTATGTGCACTTTACAAAGTTGACAGAAACATACAAAGCAAAAAACACTTGAAGAAGAATGGCCGTCTCTTTCTACCTGACTCCAAAATAAAAGAAGAAGTCATTTTGAGAACATTGAAATTAAAATGTTCATAATTACAGTAATAACCAGTTGACATTGTATAACTTTAGGTGGTTCAAAAAATGTTTTCCATCTAGAAGTCAGATTATTAAACTATGGTTCAAAAGCTAAGTGTAGCCTAACAAAGGCTTCTATGAAGGGTTTTATTATTCTTCCCACTCCCCAGCTTTGGAAATTTTTCTATTCCTTAAATATTACTTTTAGTAGTATAGTGACTGTATTTTCCAAACTCCAAATCAGGCCATAAGTTTTGACACTTGAGGGTTTTGTGTTGTTTTTTGGTGCCAGGTGCATTCTAGGAAGTGTGATTTAGATATCAAAAAATTAGAATTTTAGAGCTCATGTTATTAGGACCTCCTGAGGGTGTGTGAAGGAAAAAAATAGGTAAAACAAAAGAAAAAAATTAGACTTTTTTGGATATTTTGAAGATTTGGAAAGATAATGAAAAAGAATGTTTGAAATTAAGAATGCCTTGGAAATTTTGATTACTGTGTGAATAAAACATCTAAGTCAAGGTTACTGGATAGGTAAAAAAAATCAGTTAAAAATCTAGAAGAAACTGGAAATCTTATTTAATCTGAAATTATTAGAAAGTATATTCCACAGTTCATTTAGACATAAGCAAATTTTGAAAAATTTATGCAACTTTATGCAAATATACTCATAACTCTCTATTAGATGTGTGACATGTTCAAGAGTGAGGTACTATTCTGGAATTAATATTGTAGGGATCTTAGAGTTACTGTCCAACATGGTATTACCAAGCTGTGGGGAGATTTATTCCCATGAGGCACTGAGATTTGAGATGACCATGCTACCAGACATGTTATTTGCAGCTCCTTGTTGCCACAGCTATCATGATGAAAGAGTCAGTCTTTTGTACCTACATCTGCTCCTGAGATGTCCCCTTCTGATTTTAGTTTTAATGATTTATAGATGCAATAATACTGTCTTTGTGGGTAGCCAAGAAGAGGGTTACAAGTTGACTCCAAAGCCAAGAAGGACACTAAGAAGGTTCTAACTAGCTTTCATTCTGCTATACTGAGCTTCATGAGGACAGGGTGAGTGTTATTCATCTCTGAGGCCCTGTGCTAAGCCTTACTTATAGTAGATGCTTAACAAATATCTGCTAAATAGTTTATAAGGTTCTCAAGGAAAAAGCATTTTTCTCACCTTCCAAGTTTTTTATTTGTACTCATCACTGAATGGCAGCTATTTTAGTGAGTTGGCTATCATTGCATAGACAAACAAAATAAGAAGCAATGTTTTGAAGCAGCAGAAAATGTCAGACACATAACTGCAAATGTAAATATGTATCCTAGAGAAGCTGCTACTCACCTACCTTCCTGTGTGACCAGGATGAAGGAGATAGGTGGTCATTATCTCTTGTTTCATGTATCACCTTGGAAACCCATCATTCTTAAAAGAAGCAGTGATATCTTGCAAGTTGGCTGTTTCGTCTATTTCCTTGCAAAGGGGTAAAAAAGCAGAATCGGTGACTGTTAATTACATAACCCCCTCAGAGTTAAATCGTTATAGAAGACAGACATAGTGAAGAGAATTAAAAAAGAATATTAGTCTTTGCTAGCTTTTTAGAAATTAATCCTCATGATTGACTAGACAGAGAGGGAGGCAAACTAAAATAAACATGGCATAGCAATAACAAAGAACAAATACATATACAAACACAACCTGATCCCAAGAATTTTCTTTTTTTTTTTCTTTTTTTCTGCACCTTGGAGGGCCTGTCCCTCTATTGCCCCACCCCCCAGCATCCTGCAGCCTCTGAAACCTTACGCCTCACACCATACCTCCCCCAGCACCCCGCCTGGGGAAGAACTGGCACAGTGGAGTGGGACGTGGTTCTGGAGTCATGGGTTCAAATGCCAACCCTCCCAGTGTGACACTGACCCAATTACTTGACTGCCCTGTGCCTGTTTTCCTCATGTGTCAAATAGAGGTAACCAAAGACCCTACCTTGCAGAATTCTTAAAGGGCTGGAAGCAATAATATGTATTTGTTTTTTTTTTTGAAAGAAAGAAAGAGAAAGAGAAAAGGGGAGAGAGAATAGGAGTCTTGTTCTATTGCCCAAGCTGGAATGCAATCTAAAAATAGGTATTAAAAACCTCTTTTATGCTGATAATTGTACTTAACAGCAGAGATAGGAAGGAATAAGGGAAGAAAATAACAAATAGCCAACCAATATTTCATTTAATTTTGTGAAATACTATACAAATGCTGAAGAGTGATTTACTTCCAATTATGTGGTCACTTTCAAAATAGGTGTAATGTGATACTGAGGCAAATGTATGTTCTGTAGACCTGGGGTGAAGAATTCTATAAATATTCGCTGAGTTTACTTGTTCCAGGTCTGAGTTCAAATCATAGATGTTCCTGTTAATTTTCTATCTCGTTGATCCATCGAATATTAACAATGTGGTGTCAAAATTTCCCGCTATTATTGTGGGGGAGTCCAAGTCTCTTTATAAGTCATTGAGAACTTGTCTTATGTATCTGGGTGTTCCTGTATTGGGTGCATATATATTTATGACCATTGACTCCTGTTGCTGCATTGATCCTTTTACCGTTATGTAATGTCCTTCTTTGTTTCTTTTAGTCTTCATTACTATTAAAGTCTATTTTGTCAGAGACAAAAGTTACAACTCCTGTTTTTTTTTTTTTCTCTCCATTTGATTGATAATTCTTACACCAACCCTTTGTTTTGAGTCTGTGTATCCTTGCTTATAAGATGGATCTGGATACAGCATACCGATGGGTTTTAACTTTTTATTCAATTTGCCTGTCTGTGTCTTTGATTGGGGCATTTAATCCATTTAAATTTAAGATTAATATTGATATTTGTGAGTTTAATATTGTCATTTAGTGCTAGCTGGCTATTTTGCCCATTAGTTGATATAGCTTCTTCATTATTGAGATACTCTTTACCTTTTGATAAGTTTTTGGGATGACTGATACTGGTTGTTCCTTTCTGTGTATAGTGCTTCTTTCAGAAGCTCTTGTAAAGCAGGCCTGGTGGTGATGAAATCTCTGAGTGCTTTCTTGTTCATGAATAATTTTATTTTTTCTTCATTTATGAAACTTAGTTTGGCTGGCTATGAGGTTCTGGGTTGAAAATTCTTTTCTTTGAGGATATTGAATATTAACCCCCACTCTCTTCTAATTTGTAGGGTTTCTGCTGAGAGATCTGCTGTGAGTCTTATAGGCTTCCCTTCATGGGTAACCTGACCTTTCTCTCTAGCTGCCCTTAGAATTTCCTTTATTTCAACCCTGGTGAATCTAATGGTTATGTGTCTTGGGGTTGCTCTATTTGAGGAATATATTTGTAGTGTTCTCTGTATTACCTGCAATTGAGTATTGTCCAGCCTTACTAGGTTAGAAAAGTTTTCCTGAATAATATCCTGAAGAATATTTTCCAGCTTGGATCCATTCTCTTCATGACATTCAGGTACACCTATCAAATGTAAATTAGGTCTTTTCACACAGTTCCATATTTCTTGGAGACTTTGCTCATTCCTTTTTACTCTTCTCTAATCTTGTCTTCGCGTTTCATTTCATTAAATTGGTCTTTGACCTCTGATAGCCTCTCTTCTGCTTGATCAATTCAACTATTAAAACCTGTGCATACTTCGTGGAGTTCTCATATTGTATTCTTCAGTTTCATTAATTCACTTATATTTCTCTCTAAATTGTCTATTTTTCATTAGAATTTTGTCAAACCTTTTTTCAAGTTTCTTAGTTTCTTTACATTGGGCTAGAACATGTTCTTTTAACTCACAGAAGTTTCTTATTATCCACCTTTTGAAGCTTGGTTCTGTTAATGGAATGCACTTGTTCTCCATCAGGCCTTGTTCCCTTGTTGATGAGAAACTGCGATCCCCTGTAGAGGGAGAGGCATTCTGATTTTGGGTATTCTCAGCCTTTTTGCGCTGGTTTCTTTCCATCATTGGAAATTTATCCACCTGTCGTCTTTGTAATTACCGACTTTCAAATTAGGTCTCTTAGTGGACATCAAACCTGTTGATTCCCAGTGCTGGAATCTGAGCAACTCACTGTGCCAGCTAAAACAGTGGAATTAAGATTCATGGTGCTTTTTTGCCTGGGAATCTCCAGTCTGGCTTCCTTCTTGAGTCCCTCTTTCAATCAGCTGAATAGGTGACTCTGCCTTCCCAGAGCTCCAAACATCGACCAAAAGGGGACCCAGTCCCGTTTACTCTGCACCAAGAACTGCCACACCGGGGCGCTGGCAAAACTGATGTGCCAGCCACAAGAGTCACACTGGTGACCTGTGGGGTTCATCTGCTGGGAATCTCCTGGTCCGTGAGCTACAAAAATTTGTCCGAAAGTGTGGTGTCCTCTCGTTCTTTGCACTTTCACTGGGAGCTGCAATCCTGAGCTGCTAGTAATCAGTCATCTTCGATCCCAAGAATTTTCTAAAATTCATAAGCAAGTTAAAGGGCTGTCAGGACAGATGACTATCATGAAGAAGAAACAAACTTCTGTTTAAAAAAATATTTTTCCTGATTGGATTACAAAAGTGCATTATGGATCTCACCACTCAGAAAGTTGGTATCTGTTCTCAGACTTTTAAAAATGATTACATATGTATTTATCTATGACAAAACTGAAATGGTTTCATGCATAACGTTCTTTCTGTAAGGTGCTTTTCTCCCCTCAATTGTAAACATTTTTTCATGTCCAAAAATAAAATATTTTCTATAAAGAATTGACTGAATAAAAGGCAAATGACTCAAATACTTAAGTACAAAGAGCCTAAATTATGCTTTGAGGGTATAATGAGCCTACACATAAAGGCAAGATAAAAAAATAAATAAAATAAAAAGAAGCCAAATAAGCCTACTTCCACCACTTGGAAAAAAGCACCATCCTCTGTAGAACTGAAAAACCAGAAACCATATTTCCCCTGATGGGAAAATCTACCTCTCTTCTGCTTGGGCAATTTATTTCAGTCCATATTTACCAAGAAATATATTGCTGCAATAGACAATTCATGTATAGTAAATCATCGATGTAGTTTAAGTCAATAAAAGCCAAGTTGAGACCATTAAGTAGCCTAATGCTGTGTAAGAGTCCAATGCTTAACTTACTTAAATATATATATATTCTTGGTGAAATTAGCTTCACTCAGCTTTATGTTTTTACACAAAAAATGTTTTTAAGAGGGACAGTAAACAGAAGAGAAGAAACGTGCAGAACTTTGGAGACTAACTTACATGTGTTATTAGTAATCATATTTTCCAACAATAAAGATATGTTCCAATTAAAATGCCTTATTTAAGTTTCGCCATGCAAGAGTAAAAAATGAACTGGATATTTGAGTGCCCAAAATCTTTTATTGTGGCAAGAAGCCAAAACATAGAATTCAAAGACTGAGTATGAATCTTTGTTAATGTGCTAAAACCTCAATGATCAGTCATGATGATATCCTTTTCACCCCTTATACTAGCCTTCTGTGTTTCACAGGAAGTAAATTATCAATCACAAATGAACCTTCCAAGAATGTCAGAATGTATCATTTATTAGCTAAAGACTTAAAGAAAAAGTTCTAAGGCTATAGCCTTCTTTAATGTGATAAAACATCAGAAGAAAGAAAAATTAGAATTTCAGAAAATGTAATTCATAGATGCAATCAGAAAAAATCAAGGAGTTAAAAACCAATAAAATGTCATAAAATTAAAGCTTACCAAATAACCTCATATATTTACCTCATTTGAATTTAGAACAAACACATAAAAAGGGAAATATTATTACCTTCATTATCTAAATGAGAACAGTGAAAAATTTTAATGTTTTTGTACTCATTCTAAGTCATGAAACTCCAGAACTGGAATACACATATTCTGATCTCTAGTACACTTTCTTCTGCCTGCTAGAATGTATATACTACAATGTGTTTATTTCTTCAACTGTGATGAACCTTTGAGTTATTTCAAGTTTTACAAATTAAGTTGCTATAATTATTTGTGTGCAAACCTTTGTGTAGATATAGCTTTCATGTGCCTTGGTTAGATATCTAAGAATGAAATGACTAATTTTTATGGTAGTTGTATGGTTAACTTAAGAAGCTGCCAAACTGTTTTTCAAAGTAGTTGTATTAATTTACATTTTCATCTTCAGTGTATGTATGAGTTCTAATTGCTCTACATCCTTGCTATCATTTTATATGGTCCTTTATTTTTGGAAGGGAGGAAGGGAGGAAAGGAGGAAGGGAGGGAGGGAGGAAGGAAGAGAGGGAGGGAGGGAAGGAGGGAGGGAGAGAAGGGAAGGAAGAAAATCAGGCAGTGAGAGAGACATTGCCGTATATGGTCCATTTTTTAAGCCATTGTATTAGGTACCTGGTTGTAACCCATTGTGGTTTTGATTTGCGTTTCCCTAATAACTAATAATATTGAGCTTCTTTTTCTGTGTTTATTTACTACTGCTATCTT